ATTTTCAGCATTAAAAAATAAAAAATAAAAATTTTTCTAAAATTAAAAGAAATTTTTTTTAAATATTGATTACAACAAAAGTTATTTCATTTGTCAGATCTCTGTGGGACACTCTGTATAGTCCGGATCTATTTCTATAAACAAATTTGAATATTTTTTTTATTATAATATTTTTACTACTTAATAAATTTTTACCAAGTTTTTTGTAAAAATAATAATAGGTGAAATGGCCAAGTCTAAATGGAAAAATAGTAAAGATACTTTTAGAAGGGGATTGCAGAAAGAACCGAAAAATCGTTCCGGGGCCAAATGCGATGACAACTTCGAATGGAAATCGAAGTGGCCCTTTTTCAAAATGATGCTATTCTGCAGAGAATTGCCAACTTCTACATCGGGAAATCTACCAGATCTAGAAAATGATTTGTAAAATGRCATACATCAAAATACAAGTTGGGTCGACGATACTGATGTTGAAGTTGATGTGAACTCGGAACACGCTGAATACTCTGAAAGATCACCAGCTACCTTGGACAATGAACATTTAGCTAATAATATTTTGAAACAGAAAATGAAAAAATCTCATAAAATCGACGAATCGAATATACACTCGTTTTTGGCTTTGGAACAAAAAAAAATTCAAATTTTGGAAAATGCACAAAAAAATGAAAATCAGTTGATCAATGATCCAGACTACCATTTTCTGATAAGTTTACTTTCGTATTTTAAGGATTTGAAGGCTCTGGAAAAATTAGATTTAATGCATAATATTCAAAGCATAGTAATTGACGCACATCGTCGAAAACTTATGTYTTCTAATTCAGTTCAAAGTACAATTTTTACGAATAATATACCAGTTGAAAGTCAAAATTATCTTCCACCTATGACATTGACTTCTCAAGAAAGACCACATCATATGAGTAATGACTACCATATTKCTATGCCTTTGATAACACAAGGAAATCAATACAAAAGTTATAATATTCAAACTTCTACATTATCAAGCTCACAAGACATGTAACGTGAAAATGAAGACTTCCAACTGAMTTCCAACAATATTCAACGCTACTAATTTTGAACTTATTTTATATTATTATAATAATAATAATTATTATTATTAAGTATTTCCTGACCATAAGTTCTGGTTTTGWTTTTATTTAGTTTATTTAAAACATTTTATGATGTTCAGTTTTATGTACAAGTATTATATAACCTAATTTTACCTATTCTTAAATGATTAATTGAGTTTGTTTTTTAATTAAAAGGTTAAATAATATAAAATATAGTGTTTATTATTTACTTTCAGAGCCGGTTTGAGTAAACTGTTTTTGGTGCACTGTACCACCAATATATTAGTGGTGGGTGGTTAATTTTAGTTGAGCATAATATTATGCTGATTGATTTATTTGYATGTTTAAGATGAACTAAAAACTATTTATTATTGTATTTGGATCATAAAATCTGTTGAAATGTAAATAAATAAAAATAAAATATATAAATACAGTGTATCTTTGAATATTTAAAACATAAGTAAATATTCATCAAACTTAAAAAGGTACGGGGTTACCCCGCAAAATGTTTGTCCACTACTCCGCTTGTCTAAACTTAAAATACTTATAACTCATAAACTACTCGTTCAAAATTCGATTTTTACGTATCAAAATACTTAGAAAAATATTCTGCTTTGGAATATGAAATTAAAACTCTAGATTGTCATTCAAAAAAGTGAAAAACTTAAAAAATTATAAGGATAAAAATATAAAAAAAACATATTTTTTTAATAAAAACGTTGTTTTTTCAACAACATGAAACTTTGTAAAAAAATAATTTCAAAAAAATTGATACTTTTTGAAATAATGAGTGGTTCATGATAAAAAAATCACTCTGTATATTAAATCATATGCTTGACCATATAGAACATTCCGCCTTAACCAATTTTCAAATAATAATTAATTTGTCTTGTCTTGTTGATTTTCTAGAAAAATTAATTTTGATAAAGCCTAATTCAAAACACTTATCTGCACAAATGGATTTCGACGAATATAGAATGAGAGGTAAATATAATTTATTTAAGTATTAGTGTTTCATTAAACATTATAAATATTTAATAGTTTTTTCACACAAATACTATGGTATATAAAACATTTTAATTTGTTTTCATTATTTCATTCGACTGGTGAAATAGATCTTWGAGACTTCTTCAAAAATACTATATTGTAATATCGTTTAATATTTACTCTATTTTTTAACCMTAGAAGAAATCACGTATGATCTGATTGCTGGCAAATTTAAAATCAATCATTTATTTGAATTGTGTTTAACCGTATCAAATGATTATAGGAAAAATAATGATAGACTATATAGCAGATTATTTAGAAAATATACGGGAAAGGCGTGTCTACCCAAACGTGCATCCGGGATACTTGAGGAACTTAACACCTGACTGTGCTCCCCTCGAACCAGAATCGTGGGACCACATAATGGACGACGTCGAGAACATCATTATGCCTGGGGTAAGCTCATGAGACTAAAATAATAATAATGATGATGATAAAATGACTTTGCAAAGGTACAATGCCTATCGTATACCAATTTTTGTGTATCGTGCATATAGTGTATTAAAATAAATTATATAGATCACGCACTGGCAATCACCTCAGATGCACGCGTATTTTCCCGCCTTGAATTCGTTCCCATCGCTACTAGGGGATATGCTGGCGGATGCAATTAACTGTCTGGGATTCACATGGGTAAAATCACTGCCTCCGAGAATGATAAAAAAAAATGTAGATACAATTAACTGATACCTGTACCTACTGTAGGCTAGCAGCCCCGCTTGCACGGAGTTGGAAATCTTAGTGATGAATTGGCTGGGAAAGATGATCGGACTGCCTGAAGCGTTTTTACATACCCACAACGAGAGCAAAGGAGGAGGCGTCATTCAGGTAAGGACTATTGATACAGCATAGGTACATACATAATACATATTACATATTATGTTAGAGCTGGCGCCTACCGTGTGCCATGTATTTTTGACTTGTCTAGACGAATACGAGTCTTATGTATTATAATCTCATATATGACGAATTCCTGTATTGTATAAGTTGGTATTTACCGATAGCTTATTGACATAATACAATTAAATGGGAATCGGATATTACGGCATGGCTATTTCGGGGCGTGGATATCTTGGCGCCGCGCGCCGCAGGTATATTAATATACTATTTTAAATATGATAAAAGTTTAAAAATATAAAATAAAATAAATTATTTTATTTTAATATAATATAATTATTTAAATATTACAATTATTTTAAAAATACAAAATAATAATCAAGTTTTATAAATATAATTAATAATACATGGTTAAATATAATATATTATAATATAATATAATATTATTATGATTTGAAAATTATCTAAAAAAAAATATGATAATAAATTTAGTAAGGAAAAAGTAATTTAAGTAAAAATGAAATAATAAAATGGTTAGTTAAACCTAAATAATTATCTTACGAAGATTTTAAGCTAGTAAATCAACTACAATATCAAGGTCAAGCTAATGAAATTATCATTTTAACTGATATAGAAAAATCAGCGTCAATATTGTACCGGATTGTGAGATTTAATACAACAACTTGTTTTTTTAAATTTTTCAATAAATGAAATAAGCCCCCATATATTTTAACCCTTTCACTGCCAGAAGTTTTTTATTCTGTAACACGTCACTGTTATCTGTTGCGTCTAGTGGCCCATTGACCAGTAGTCTTGTATTTCCAATTTTTTGTTTCTGGCCATCAACATTGTTATTGCTAAGAACACAAACATTTCTTCACAATCTACATCCATCCATTGATTGACTCTAATAAAATGAGACAAACATTTTATAATAACTAGTAAAATGTAGGTGTAACTTATAATAATATAGAATATATTTCATCTATTCAGGCCATATTTTGAAAAAGTATATCTCTTGTATATATATATATAATTTATTAAATTTCTATAATGGAAATGTAACAAAATAAAATGTAATAATTCTAATTCATAGTCTAATTACAAATTTATAATGTAATTTGCAATATTTTTTATAATAATACAATAACATTTTATTTTGTCTGAATAATATTTTTTAAATATTTACTTAGAGCCAGGTGTAACATTGTCAAATTTCTAGCAGTATCGATTGGTCTCAAAAGCAACCTTCCCCAATAAGCTCGGGGTAACAAATGCCTCAAAAAAATCTAAAATACATGACTGATCTGATAGTTCGAATTCTGCTTTGTTTATACCACTCTAAGAGTAAAATAAATAATATAAAATGTAAATGTTATACACGAATAGATCCTTAGAAGGATCAAAATCGTAAATTTTAGGTACAAAGTTTCCACGTTTTTTCCAAACAAAATTTTGTGCAGATGGTTTATTCTTTTTCTCGGGAGCAGTTGGTACAAATTGATGGACACTAGGCATACATTTGGGTTCTAAATCTAATAAATATATAAACTGTAAAATTATTATTTGTCGAGGATGAAATAATTATGTAGAATAAATAAATTACCTTGAAGTTCTGGTTCAACATCATCATCAAGAAAATCATCATCAGAATCTAAATCGTGTAAGATTTCATCAAGACTTTCTGCAATTTGGGCGTAGGAAAGCATTAATATTGTCAAATAAAAAACTATTATAACAATACTTGCGCACGAACTTTGTACGAAAATTATTCAAGATAACATTCATAATGAATAATAATTATTTAAGACCCCCATACACATCAAACAAATTTGCGCAACCTCTGTGTTTGTGCAAATACGATGTTTGTACAAAATGTTAACACACACGTTCCAATATCTTGTGCAAACTTCAGTTCAATCTTTGATTTTGTCAAAATATATTCATTAGTAAAAAGTAAAAAGTATATTTTACAAGAATATGTGAATATGTCTGACACCGATGATACTTGTGCTGCGATAGTGATTGCTTGTTTGATGGAAAAGAAAAAAGTAAAGCCAAAAAAAGCAGAGGGTGTGGATGAAGGAATGGCTGAAGAAGAGGAATCAATTTAGCCATGAACAATTAGTAACAGAGCTTAGAATAAGTTCAGCTGTTGACTATGGAAATTATCTACGAATGGATGCAGATACGTTTAATGAGCTATTAGAAAAGATAAGACCTTTAATTGAGAAACAATTTACATCTATGAGGGAACCAATTATGGCAGAACAAAGACTATTGTCCATTTTGAGATACCTTGTAAGCGATGACTCCTTTGAAGAGCTGAAATTCCAAACTGCCATCGCAGCTCTAACTCTTGGAAAAATAATTCTTGAGACCTGCGAAGCTTTGATTTACGTTTTGAATGGATGTTTCAAGGTAAGTGTTATTGGTTATATATTGTTTTCAACTGTTATAAAATGATTACATATATAGTATTATTAAATTTATAATAATAGTTATAAAAGTATTGAATATTTATTGATATTGGTTATCGTTAAATAGATCATTAATTGTATATCCTTCTGATGTGGAGGGTTGAGTTGCGACTGGAACTGTTGGATATTGCAATGCATGTGATTGTTGTTGTGGACTATACTCTATTCAGAATAAGAAACACAGCGGCGGCCGACTACTGCGCATGGGCGTGGTTTCATTCAAAACACATTACTAGAACAACGCCGCCGGCTAGAGCGTCGAATTAGTCTATTGTCGACCAGCATTGTGAGACAATAACTTAAAATATACTGTTGTACAATATTTTGATCTGTCATTGCGAGTCAACCGGTGGTTGTACCTGTACGTCGGCATGGCGCGTCGGTCGTCGTCGGTTCAGCAGACGAACAGATGTTTGATTAATTGGGGGTAACAATAGGCGTTGCCTGACTGCTGCCGACGAAAACTGGTCGCCGCCGACTGTGTTTCTAATTTTGAATAGAGTATAGGTGTAAATGATTGTAAGTATGGGKAGGGCGGTCCTGAATAATGTGAAGATGATCATTGGTGATGATCCTCAGCAAGAGGGTCTATAATAGTATGGATGCTGAATGTGACCTGTTGTATGTGTACTGATTGGTACTGGTGAATGATTTATGGTAATAGAGTTTCTATGTAGTTTGCCCAGTCGTCCTTCATAAATAATGTCGTCAATGAATTTTTTGTGTACAATTGCTTTCATTTTGTTGAACTCTATGCCCCACGCCTTTGCCAAGACTTGTGAAACGGAGGTGGGTTTTTGGAGACGTTGACAAGCCAGCGTAATAGTTTAGTCCTTTTAGTTTCTTCATCTGTGGGTGCCTTTCTTTTGGACACGAATTTTTTCTTTGGTGATGTATTCTGTGGTATTATCTGAAAAAATCAAATATCATTAAACATAGTATGTCATTAATCATAATTAATGACTGAAAAAAAATGAACGTATATGCAACGTAAACAATTTGCAAATTTCAAACGTTTAAAAGTTATCTAATAACGTATGTTTTTTTAGATTCTGAACGAAGCGACGAATGTATTGTTTAACAATGACATGTATTTTTTTTTGTGTCTATTATCGCCTTTTAAACATTAAAAATGCTTAGATTGTCTTCAAACATTTTTTTT